ACACACACACACACACACACAGGCAAAAAGAAAATCCACCGAAAGTGCTCCTCCCACCAAACAAGAATAGGATTGTCAGTTTTGCAGCTCGGCCAGTATTTTCCTACACAAGTTTCACACGTCTGGAGACCCTCTGGGGATGTTGTGTCTACTCACCTGTGCCCCAGCCCCACATGCTGAGGAGGGAAAGACCTTTGTGCTGAGTGAGTGCCCCTTCCTGCCTCTGAAGTCCCATCAGCATGTTTCCAGGGCCTGAGAACCCACAAAGGAGCAAATTGGAGCCCCAGGGCCTCTGCTGAAGAGGGAGAGGGAAGGGGTTCCCGAGGAAACAGCCGGCCTCTGGGGCTTTCCAGAAGGGGGACCCTTGGCCTCTGCACATGCCCCACCCTGCCCCATCAGCTCACACTCCCTCACCCCAACGCTGAGCTGGATTTGTTTTTCCAAACCAAGAAGGAGTAGTGACAGAGCCATCTTTCCCAGGCTGTTTTGGAAGGACTGTTGCCAGAACCCCTCACGTCTTGCCTACCTTTGGTTTTATTCCATTGCGTTATCAGGCAATCAGCCACCTGCTCCCATGTGCTGATGTGTGTTTTGGACACCACAGGTCTGCCTCCTGCTGTGTGTTCCCGCCCCAGCTCCCAAGGCCCTGACACACTGCCCTCTGCCCCTGTGGCAAGGCCCACGTTCACGCTTGGATGAGGCACCTGGCCCTGCCCGATCCTTGACCACTGCGTTGGTTCTGCTGCATGCGCGGGGGTGGGAAGGTGGGTTCTGCCAGGTCTCCCCTCCACTCCCACCACTGAGCCTGTCTGAATTGACTAGGTTTTGCAATCCCGATAGGATGGCCTCTAACCTAACATTGGAGACAGACCTATGAGGTCAGGGTGGGAGGCTGGGTTCCTTGGGTGAGTGTGGACACACCTCATGGAGGCCCTGCCCGTTAGGTAAGCTCACTGGCATTTTGGGGAGTTCTGCCTAGCTTTGTACCAGGCCCCACTGTTACACATCTAATACAAGCCATCACCATGAAGATAGGCCCCATGACCAGCGTGTTCCAGGATGGATGGAGAGGGAGTGTTTGTGGGCACATCCACTCTGCTGGGCAAAGGTGTGTGATGCGTATTTATGTAACTGGTTAGTTCCCTTTCAATGGAACTAGATATGTTATGTGTAATCTAAACTATATCTGTTTCCCATCATAAGGAGAGTATTGTACTTAAGGTTCCTTGGGGCGAGGAGATGTAGATTTTGTCAGGCTCTCCTGGACTTTTTTTGGTAATGAAATGCTTTATTACCATCCAGTGGTATAAGAAGCTACACTCTGTATTTCCTCATCGTCATTGTGATGCCTGAAAATTAGGCCAAAAAATGTCAACTGACGTTCATCTCCGTCACTATAATCCAGATTTTGCGCCCATTGCTTGCTGAAGTAGCGCTCTCTTCAAGGGGACATGGACTGACCAAAGGTCTCAGGCGCAGTTACCAAGGAGCCATCCTGGATCGTTCTCCAGAAGTGGAGCTTGAGATGGACGACCTTGGCCGTGAAGTCCAGGCGATTTTCTCAGGGTGTGAGAGTGTCCGCAGGCTCAGGAAGCAGGGCTAGGAAGATGCACTTAGACTTTGCTAGTTTAGTAACAGGGTATGATCTTGTGTTTCTTGATGACAAACTTTTTAATTTGAGAACTTACTCTCCTATTTGAGAAGCTATAATATATATTTAAAATAAGTTTCCTGTTTAAGTTGTGCCTTCCAGCATCACTGGGTGCAAGGAGCACCAACGGTGATGATCCCCATGAGGGCTGGCTGATCACCAAACCTGAAGAGCTGTGGTTTCTCCAGTAAACGTTTTCTTCTATTGAACATGGAGCCATTATTAAATGAGTTTTGTTTTTTATTATGTAAATTGTAAAATATTTTTTGTTTGATGCTCTATTTTTCTAATCGTTTTCTTACAGTTATGATACTAGAGTTAGATTTTAACGCTAACTGCAAATCAGGTTGGTCTCTGCCGGTCCCTCCTGTTTTCACTTTATTTTAAGAACAAGATAGATGTTGTCCATCACTTTTTTAAAATGTGAAACTGCATCCTGTTTTCCTGACAACTCTGTGCATCGACAACTTCTGTACTTTGTGTTGTAAAATCAAACTGTTTTGTGGTACATTATCTCATGCTTCTGCAAATTCTAATAAATTCTGTAGCTTCAGTGTGCACGGTGTCCATCTCAAGAATTCCAGCAGCTTTGGCCAGGTCCCCAGGAGTGGCAGTGCCTCACGGAGAGGTCCAGATCCCGCGCTTTGCTTCTTTAGTATCTTCAGACCTCCCCACAGGCCGGTGTTCTCTTGCCGCCTTCAGCCATTGGGTGGAAATCCTTATTCCAACAATAAGCTGGGAACCCAGAGCCAGGAACCTCTAGAGCCCTCATTTATGATCCTCTGTCGCTGTCTCCCCCTGCCCACTCTCCAGACTTGGCTTGGGTTTGGGCCCCAAACAACAAATTGTTGTTTCTCTCTTTTTCTCAAATCATTAAATAGAAAACATTTTTTTTAAAAAAATAAAGTTTTTAAAACATTTTTTAAAAATTACATTAACTTCAGAGGTTTCATTTGCTGAAGGACTTGGGTATGGGGTACAGCTAAACCCCTCACACCAGAACGCCCCTCCACACCCACCATTGCTTAGGGAGGATGGGTGCATGCAGGGCAGGGAGAGGGTGGGGAGGATTGTAGCTGTTCTAATACTTGATTTATCTGTCCCCATTCCCCCTTGAGAAAGGATCATTTTCTTGCAAGGGAGGCAAATTCAGTCAAATTGACCGTAGCTCTCAGACACTGACACACAGTGATTCAGTGATCACATGGGCAAATCTGTTGCCAGAAAGACAAGGCCTAACCTGTGTGTCATCTCAGCTGATGACAGTGCTGGAGGGGACACCCAGGAGAGCAGAGAGAGGGCAGGGAGCTGCTATTGGGCCTGGCGCTGGTGGCTTGTCATGGGGAATAAAATACTGACGACCAGGCACATCACCCGGTGGTCGGCCAGATGGTAAACTGGAACACAAACCCGACCCGATGGTGTGGAAGTGTCCCCAACATGTCCCCAGGGTGTGCAGTGTCTGGGGATGCAGCAGGCAGGAGTCCATTGCACCCCCCAGGGCAACTTCTCAGAGGTCTCCAGTGAGCCCAGTCCCTGGCCTTCAGGATCAGTGGGCGCCAGTGTCTCGGAGAGCCCAGAACTGGGACAGGACCATGGTGGCAGGGGATGCGAGTGTCGGCTAAGCACTGGCCTGAGCTGAGCGCATGGTGAAGCCTCTTCCAGCAGTGCCACACTGCCACCTAGTGGCCTGCCACAGGGTTTCCAGCCTTTTCTGGGAAACCTTGAGCCCCAGAAAGGATCCAGGTTGCAGGCCTTGGGAGAGTCGCCCGAAGCACCTTTTCCCTGCACAGGTTGGATATGATACACTTCTGCTGAATCCAGAGCTGTGCCAACAGCTTGGCATTCACAGTAACAAGGAATCCTGTAAAGGCTCTTCACCAGGAGACAGCCACCTTGCACACCGACCACTCTAGCCCCCAGAGCAAGGCGGGGTTGGAATCCCTACTGGGGGTAACACTGCTGGCCCCTCTTCAAAGGGAACAGTTTCCTTTGAGCAAATCAAGCCTTCCTACCAACCCATCAATGCAGTCATTGAAAAATCCGCTGTGAGAAAAGGCTCAGGGACCAAACTGGCAGCGCTTTTGCTAACGAGCTGAGCCCTTTGGCCTGTTTCAGATGGCCAGCACCTAATCCTAGGGGACTCAGGTTGGGTAGGGAAATGGAGAAGCTGTGCAGGTTACACTTTCCCAAGGATACTTTAACATTTTACTTAGCAAGACAATGAAGTTGGCCCTGGTGGGGTAGCTCAGTTTGTTTGAGTGTCCTTCCAATACACCAAGGTTGCGGGTTTGATCCCTGATCAGGACACATACAAGAAGCAACCAATGAGTGCATACATAAGTGGAACAACAAATTGATGTTTCTCTCTTTTTCTCAAATCATTAAATAGAAAACATTTTTTAAAAAACACAATGAAGTCACTTGTTGAGTGCCTGCCGGTGGTCTGCAGTCACTGGAGAGGGGATGCAACACCCCCCCTGCTACACTAACCTGGGTGCAGGGAAGGCGGGAAGCACCACCCAGAGAGCAGCAGCTGTGCGCGGTGCCTGCTGGTTGTCCGTGCAGTGGGTGCCCTAGCGTGCTGCACCCAGCCAGGACCCTGGGTCACTTGCAGCAGAGTGACTCCAGCTTAGAGCTGAGTAGAATCTCACCACCCCCATGTCTTGGCTGGAAGAGCCTCAGAGACTTGAACTAGCGCCCACCCCCCACCCCCACCCTCACTTCTCCCCCCGGGGGAGGGGGCGGAGAACAGAGCTGGGCTGGCTGAACCCAGGGAGCCTGTTGTTTTGTTTTTAAGAGGTTTGAGAGAAGCAGAGTGGTTAAAAAAGATATTAAGCAAACTTAAGTGATTTAATTGCCCTTGTCTTAACAACTTTGGGTGTTTTTTGTGTATATTTAAGCATTTTATCCAAACATTCCAGTGGGCAGAATGCTGATTCGTAATAACATTGAGCAGTCCCAGAGATCTGGTTTGATGCCTATACTCCAGTGATGGCGAACCTATGACACGCGTGTCAGAGGTGACATGCAAACTCATTGTTTTGGTTGATTTTTCTTTGTTAAATGGCATTTAAATATATAAAATAAACATCAAAAATAGAAGTCTTTGTTTTACTATGGTTGCAAATATCAAAAAATTTCTATATGTGACACGGCACCAGAGTTAAGTTAGGGTTTTTCAAAATGCTGACACGCCGAGCTCAAAAGGTTCGCCTTCACTGCATACTCTGAGGCAGCACCAGCTGTGCAAACAGGTGAGACACCTCGTTTTATTGTGCTTTGATTTATTGCACCCCACACATGTTGCATTTTTTACAAACTGAAGGCAAGGCCCTCCACTGGTTAAAAGATTACAACTTGCTTTATTGCAATATTTGCTTTATTGTAGTCTGGAACTGAACCCGAATATCTCCGCAGTATGCCTGTACCCACTTCCGGGTTTCTACCTGAGCATCGCTCCTTCCGCTGAGATGAGTGACCCAAGTCCCACGCAGGCAGAGCTGGCTGTGCAAGGCTCCTTGCACAGAGTAGGTGACCAAGTGGTTGGCTTTAGAGGTCTCGTCTGCCTGCTGCAAATCAGCTGTGAGAGGGGAAAGTTCTCTGCAGACAGGAGGAAGCGGCTCTAACGTCGTCACTCCCTGCACATGCCAGGGGCTGAGTCACCCGCCTGCTCAGTAAAGGTGAGACCTCACGTGTGGGGGGAAAGGAAATGGAAGGTGGTTATTATAAAAGTGGAGGACACAAGACAGCAAAAGACACTAATAGGCTGGGACAGGTTGGCAAGTGAATCAATAAATAGGTCACTATCAATAATCGGGAAGCTGGGTGACTTAGGGGGGATTCTGTGGTCCTTGCAGGCCTAGAAGTGACTCGAGGGGATTTATCATCCGTGAAAGCTCTCTTGTTCAGCAGCTGGTCAGGACGGCAGACTTGCTACAGTCTCACTAAAGTCCCTACCACTCCTATATGCCCCACAGGGAACTGACAATAGGGGTCTCCCTTCCATCCTTAAGCAGGGGCAGGCTGCCAAGCTGGCTGCAACCCACCCAGAGGTCAGGACTGGGGAGCAAGTGCTTTCAGGCTGAAATATGTGCTGGCTGCACAGAATATTATAGGAAGAGCCACAGAGCTGTCCAGGCTCCCGTGTCCCCTGTTGGCATGAGAAAGCCTGACAGATCGTTGTGCACGATAAGGAACTGCTGTCTGTGACCATCACACCAGGAGGCTCCTCCTTGCTGCTCATGAGAGAGCTCTATGGCCATCCAGCCATGAACTGGCAGGATTTAGGACACATCAAACTTTCGTTGGGGGTAGAATCATAACCCTGTCTAGTGCTGAATTTGAAATCGATGGTAAAGGAATTGCACTCAATCTTTTGTGTCCCTTTCCCACTGACTCCAGCCCACTCAGCCTACTAAAGACAGCGGGCTGAGCAGAGTCACTGAGCCCCCCAAAGCCAGGGCCAGGCTCCTGGAGATCCGGGCTGCAAATATGGGTGTGGGGGCCTTGGACCTGCTGAATCAGGGCAAGAGTCTGGAGACTCAGTGGCTGACCCTGGCAAAACACAGGAAAAAAATCCAGCCTGCCAAACACCTCCCTGGCTGCTATGGATCCAGCCCGAATTTCCTCAAGCCTGAGCCGGGCAGGCCAAGAGTTACATCAAGTGCGTGTCACGGGAGCTCCCTCAAATTAACTTTAATATACTTCAAACACAAATATGCAATACAGAAAGTGTAGGGGCTGGGTGAGGAATGTGTGACCCCATTCAAGCAATCACACCCAGTGTGCCAGTCCATCAACCCCTCCCCTCTCGGACACCCGGCCAGAATCCTGCCCCAGCTCGGGGGCCCGGCAGTGGGGAAGGGTACACACTCAGCTCCCAAATGCCCAGAAAAGGTCGGTGAGGTCTGATGGGTTTGTCTGAGGTGGCGGAGCTGCGGCATCTGTAAGTGGAAACAGCTCCGGCCTGGGACGTGATGACAGGACTTCCATGTTGAGAGGTTCAAGTCCTAATAGCGTGCGGAGTGGCGGAAGGAGCACAATGGCTGCCACCCCTCCTGTTCCAGGATAACAGCCAGAGGTGACAGGAGTCCACGATGAAGGACGAGGCCAGGGCAATGTAGGAATTAGCTCAAGTGCCCAAGGTGAGGGCTGGTCAGGGCAGAGCTCCAGTCCACCTAGTGAGGGATTATTTAGTGCTAACATCACCACACCTTGGCCACAATAGGCTAACACGCTGTAGCACATCCTAACAGAACACTGGAGTCGGTATTGCTGTGTAACTGCATTTAGCAGGTGTCCCTATGGACGCAGTTCCTAATCTGGAGAGCTGAGCTACCGCTGAAACTGTGTTTGGAGGTGGTGCCGCTAAAAGAAGACATAACTGTGTACTTTGTGAACATGGCGTAGTCTACTCTAATGGAATGCCCGACTCAATATCACAGCATCATGCAGAGCCATGAGAGGAGAAACGTTTCTTCGATGGGCATCTACTGTGTATGTCCCCAGGATGGGCGGATGCTATTGGAGGTTTGCTAGAAACAAGATGGAACTTAAGCAGAAGCCCAACCTTGACTCAGGCAGGGAACACAGACCAGGTCTGTCTTCATGTAAGCGAAGCAGGCAGGCCTTTGGGCAAGCTGACCCCTTCCTTCTGTGGGCCGTCTCTTCCCCACCACAGATGTCCCTGCCTGAGTCCACTGGCCTTGGTCATACTCAAAGACTGCCCTGTGCTCAGGACAATTTCCAGGGGCCTTGGGGAGGGAAGTACAGGGTCTCTGTCACAAACAGGAAACAAAGGCATCATTATCATCATATCAATTGTTAAAACTACTTCCCTGTTGGGTGTCATGCTCCTAACCTTCCACAGCACTACAGGAATACCTCTCACGTTCTAATTCTACCATTTCAGAGACAGGTGCCAGTCCAGTAGCCAGTGACCACTGGCTGGAGTTTCTGTGGGCTCCTCTGTGTGGAAGGACCTTTTGGGTCTAAGATGGAGCACTGTCAGCTGTGGCACTGCTCGATGATCCTGCAGAAAATTCACCTGGGTTCCTGGAGGGTCAAGGAATGGTCTAGCTCAGTGTGGAACTGGTCCCCCAGGACGGAAGAACTGGTTTTCTGGAAGCCCCTGCTAGAACCCCTGAGCCATCTCAATGCACAGTGATGGGACCGAGTTACTGAACCGAACTGAAGGGGAGATTGCTATGAATGGGGGCCTGAGGGTCATATCGGTGGGTTGACCACTCGCAGCATCAGATCAGAGCAAACCACCTAGACTGCCAGAGCGTCCCTGCTCTGGGCTCAGTCAGGGCACAGATCCTGTCAGCAGTTTTTCTCGTGAGGCCACAGGGCGAATGGTCTTGGTCAACTCCAAGGTCATCCTCACCCTCCCTCCAGAAGGGCTTGCTCTCCCATATTTCCCCCGAGGGAGCAATAGCTGAAGGACAGATTCCAAGATGCCCTTTAGGAAAAAAGCAAAACTTGTGTTTACAAGACTATAGATGATTCACTGTCATGTCGAAACATCCAAAAAGCTGCTAAACCCCGCAGGGTTTCCCACTGTGCTCCCTTAGCCGCTCACCACAGGAGCCTTGATCATTAAAACCTGCGAATGGAATAATGGTGACTTCAGATCATGCTAAGAAGCGGATTGTTCCAAAGGCAGTTACCGTTCACAAGTCGCTGGTGTTTGTGTTAAATACAGTACCACTTGGTGGCAGGTCGAAAGGCGCTTCTTCTCAGTATCTTTTTTTTTTTCTTTTCTATTTTGGGTAGAAATATTCCTGGGAAGCTAGATAGAAATGCATTTTCATTTCCCAAGTATTTTTAGGCACAAGTTAGAAAACTGCTGACCTTCACCAAAATATGTCAGCACTTCATGTTATAAAAAATGCAATTTAGAACCACCACGTGTGCAGATACGTTCATTGACATATCTACGCACATCGGTGCAGCACACAATGATTATTCGGTATAGATTCCAAACTGAACTATCTGTCACTAACCTGAAATTCTGCAGTGAAAATTCATTGCTCAAAAACAATTGGCATTTCTTTCTTTTGGCTCTAACTACGGTCCAACGTTTGCACATCAGACACGACCCGCGAACACTTCCCTCGGTGCCAACGCCAGGGAAGAGCAGTGACTGGGGAGGGCGCCGCTGAGCAGCTCCTGAGCATGCGCGGGGCGGCCTTGGTGAAGACTCCCCCAGGTGGAAGCGCGGGTGCGTGAGGGGCCGCAGCTCCGAGGCCGCGTGGCGTTGTCATCTGGGCGTGGTGCCCACTTTGGCGGGTGAGGAGGGTCCGGAGGAGGAGCCGCGGTAAACAGGGGACGTGGGGGTGAGTTTAACTGGGCTGGTTGGGTCCCCAGTTTGGAGCTTCCAGAGCAACTCTTCATTGGTGCGGCTCAGCCTCTTCTTCTCCTGGGCCTCCTTCTCCGCGTACTCCTGCAGGTTGGCGTTCTCCTCCGACAGCTGTCTGCACGGGGAGAGGACAGTCATGCCACAGGCCTCAGCTCGGATACGCCAGGCCAAGGACGCCTGCGCGGGCAGCGGGGGAGTCGGACCCTAACCCACAGTCTCGGTTGAACCACTATTGCTGCTTGTCCCACCACATCGCCCGCCCCCCCCCCCGCTTCAGCCGGGTGATGGCTCAGCCCTCATGGACAAAAATAGCCTCCCTCTGGCTGTTTTACTGCACACCAACCGCGGGGGGGGGAGGGTGTATCTCCTCATCCTTCCCTGAAAGTTGGGGACCTCAGAGCAGGGGACCAAGATAGAGACGATGTCACCAGGAGCAGCTGCGTTTGGCTACACGGCCAGGGCCAGGCTGGCCCATGGCGACAGCTCAGCAGCCAAGGGAGACGTGGGTCTGCACTGCTGAGCTGGCCGAGCACCGGGTGGCGCACATGGGGTTCCCTTTTCCCTGGGAACGCCCAGCGGCCCCTCTCCAAAATCCGCCCTGGGAACAAACCTGAGCACCACCCAGCCGCGTTGGGGCTCCTGCCATATGCTTTCCTACGGTCGGGGAGGCCTCGCAGCTCAGAGGAGGGAGGTAAATTGGACGTCGGGACACAAACAGGACCCTCAAGCTCAGCAGCAGAGCCGCTTTGTGGGTGGCACATGTTTGTGAGTTTAGACACCTGCTCTGCCTACCTCGTGACGACAGTATTCTGGTCAATCCTTGCTCTGAGATCTTCGTTCTGCTGCTGGAGAACTTGGATTTTCTCCTCCAGGATAATGTTCTTTTCCGCCTGGAAAGGGTGCAGTGTTAGGAGGCCCCTGGCAGGGCCGCCTGACAGGAAGGAGACCAGTGCCCTTGGAGGGTTATCAAGAAGCGTGTTTTGCAAACTACAGTGTGTAGTGCACTGGTGGGTTGTAAAATTAGGTTAGAGGGATGTGGCGGGCATTTGTTGAAAACAGAATAAAGCAGAAGAGAAAATACCAGAATGTGCTGTATATAGTAAAAGTAAGTATAGTTATATATATTTTAGATATATAGTTTTATTTCACATATATTATGCACATGTGTGTATGTATATACTGGAATCCTATGTAGAATATATTTTTATAGTGAGTGTCCCCAGGCCGTTGCCACTGTTAGAGATATGCCGTGATCAGCACCAGGACCTAGCCTGGCTAACGGGTCCCATGGGCCCCCCTGTACTGCATTACCCTCCCTTGCTGGGTGCACCCTATGACATTCTAAATGAATGGAGAGATGGAAACATGGACACAGTTTCCCTTCTGAGACTATGGGCAGCCAGGAATGCAAAGCACAAGGCCATCTTGGCACATTCTCAGAAAAATCACAGCACCCAGGGCTGTTCCTGCTCCACAATTTCTACAATTCTCTCTGTCAGAGGGTCTCCCCGGGCCCAAGACCTAGCTGAAGCACAGTTCCATTCTAATATGAAGTTTAAAATAAATTATTTTTGAAAAGAATGTGACAAATTCTATATTAGTGTAGTTAATCTTTAAGGAAAACGTTCACCTCTCCAAGAATAAAGGTTAGGAATCAGAGCCAAAGGATGGACCTCTGTCCCTGCTCTTCATCAAGACACTCTCACCCAGCCCCCCACTTTGCTCTAAGGAAGTGGGACGTGATTAAATCAGTACCCCCACACCATACACACAACTGCTTCTGGAGTGAGAAGTCATGAATGCCTGCAGAAAGCCTAAAGCATGGCTAAAAACAGCCACATCAGCCTCTAGGCTTGTCAGTGATTGAACAACTGGATGCAGATGGCCCAGCCTGGAGGAGGAGGGTTGCTATCCTCATGTTGGTTGGACTACAGGCAGGACCAGGAGAGCAGGGCTCTGTCCCTGAGCTCCCAGTGGTCTTAGTTGTTGTCTTGCTGGGAAGCTGTGGGCTGCCGAGGGCTGCTGAATGGTGCCACGTGGCCAACGTTAGCCAGGATGCTGGTAACAGACACTCACATCCAGGTCCGCCCCCTCCTAACTGATGAGCACTGGTGCAGAAAGAGATGTCTGCGAAAGGGGACAATGCTAGACAAGAGAGGGCAGTGACAACTGAATGTGAAACTGAGGCCTCCACCAGCTCCTGATTAGGGTAACCAGCTCAAGGATATTTCAGAACAATGGAGAACTTAAACAGTTAGACCAGATGATCGGTTACTGAGGTGGTAAGTTAAGGATTTGCTCATTGAACGTGTGCAGGGGATGTCTCAGGTATGTACACGTGTACAGAGAAGCTCTGGAAAGTGTTAACAGTAGTAGAAATATATTTTAATTTTCTTATTTATGTTTATATTATCATTTTTAAAAAAATATATTTTTATTGATTTCATAGAGGAAGAGAGAGGGAGAGAGAGATAGAAACATCAATGATGAGACAATCGTTGATCGGCTGCCTCCTGCATGCCCGCTACTGGGGATTGAGCTCGCAACCCGGGCATGTGCCCCAACCGGAAATCGAACCATGACTCCAGGTTAATAGGTCAGCATTCAACCACTGAGCCATGATGGCCAGGGCTGTCTAATCATTTTCTATAATGCACATATTTTCCTTTTATAGTATCAAAAGTTTGTTTTTCATATAACAATTTATAAAAAGGAATAAAACATAAGAATTTATCTGAGAGCCTTGGGTCAAGTTCCAGTTCAGGATGGTATCTCCTTGGGAACTGGCTTCTCTGCTACTAACTTTGGACAATCATCTCCTCGAGCCCTGGCATGGCCCTTGTGCCTAAAGGTAGAGAATGAACTCTGGGGTGCTCTGTTCCCCAAAAGGGGCGCCCTTTGCTGGTTCTGTGGAAGCCAGGCTGAAAGGTGAGGCCGAGAGTGGTGAGCGCGCTGGGCTGGGCGTAGCCACTGATTGGCTTTAGTGAGATGCCCTGTCCCAGGCCCCCATCTCTAACTTGTGAAAGGAGGCTCCCAGCATCTCCTTCACAGCCCTGCTGTCAGAACAGAGGCATGGGGAGTGCTCTGCGTGGTGCCTGGCACACGTCAGTGATGCTCCTCTGTGCTGGCTCATCACACGTCTGCCAGGGAGGAGTGAGGAAACCACTTCAGAGCCATGGGGCGGGGATGGAGGCTGCAGACTTGGACAAAATGAGGCCACCTCTGAGACCCCTGGCTACCTAAGAAAGGCCTTGGGACTCAAGGATAGAATTCTCCACTCAGGTGGGAGCAATGGGTTCAGGGCCCGCGTCCTGAACGGTGTCAGTGTTGACATCAACGATGACAGTAAGGTTGCTAGGCTCTCCCCAGGAAATAGACCAACTCACCAGCTTTTCCAGCTCAATAATCTTCTTTTCCTGCTGGTGTATTTGCTGATTCTTCATCTCTAACACCTGCTTCAAACTCTTCATGTCTTCTTCCAAGTGCTGATAGGGAGCCAGTGCAACCTACAGGGGCAGAGAGCGACAAGCTATTTTCCCGGGTCCTGGCAAAGGCCGCTGCTCACCACAGTCATGGATTTCACTAAAGCTAGTCTTCTTTAACCAGCTGCCCAGTAGGCACTGGAGCATGAGGGAGAGAGAGGAACATCAGCTCACACAGCCCTCCCTGGTAGAGATCCCACTGGTGTCCCACTGGGAATGCGACTAAAAGTCCAGCTCCCTGGGGAAAAGAAGAGAGAAAGCCATCACCACTGGAGAGTGTGGGGGCTGGAATGGCCGGATGCTACCAGCCCATTCCCAGGGGGAGCTGGTGCGGTGAAAGGAGTCAGTTCGACACTGGCTTTGGACAGTCACTCAGACCACTTGGTTCA